TTCACCGAAGAAAGTGACCTACACGTTTATCCTTATTACAGTTACAGCGCTTGTTGTGTTCAGTGCAGGAAGGATGCGCAAATGAAAACTTGCAATTGCGCACACCACTTGATGCCTAACACATGTAAGTGTTTTTACATAACTGTACGTTGCAAAACAACATATATTTGACACTATTGACAGATGAGACTTGTTTGCTATGTACTGCTACTTGACATTAGCGCCATCTATGATTTTGAAGGAACTTATCGACCTAACCTCTTAGATTACATTTACATTGTTTTCAGCGTACGAAAATCAATGCCAGATAGATGGGTTGTACTGTTTGAACAAGCATTACAGCGAACTAGCTGTTTTGAAAGCCTATTGGGCTAATAGAAATGGGCTTGTGTGCGACTGCTTGCCCAGTTGCACGGAAATTGAACTGTCTGTTATAAAAGACGACAAAAATGGGTGAGCATGTCAAAAAATAGGAATTAAATTCACTTTGTAACTTCGCTTTAGCATTCCCCAGGACTATGCCATAGTTGAATTATCCTTGGAAAGACTTCCAACCGAAAGATTTAAACGAAATGTTGTAAGAGGTAAATTGGATTTGGTCGGTGAGTACTCTGTGTAAAGGGATCTAGCAGTGTTCCTTTCTCTTGCATAGCACACAATACTGTTTAAGTTATGATTTATTTATCTATTTTTATAGTGTCTATGGGTGGAGCCACAGCTTTGTTTTTGGGAGCCAGCCTTCTAAGTTTTGTTGAAATAATTTACTACTTCAGCATTCGACCATTCATGGATGTTTATACAAAACAATCCAAAATAAAACGTCGTAGAGGCATGTTTAAAAAATATAGAAGATACTAATTGTATTGGTACTAGAAGTATAGTTTATGCTAACACTAATTAATTGAAATTTTATTTACGAAAACCTGCCCCAATCCTTGTAAAATCTAATATAGACAATTGTTTTGTTTACAAACATACATAATAATTTCATACAAACGTCATTACCATGAATTTCTTAAATACGATACATTTTTTTGGTAAAATGTTTTCACAAAATATTCCTGACACGATAAAAAAATGTTGTTGTTGTGATACGGACATTTTTTTGTTGTAATACAGATAAACCGGAAATATTTCACAGCAAAAGTATTTTTGCGCATATTTTGTTACTGTATATATAACGAACAAGAAGGGCTTTAAAAAACATCAGTTCTGGACGTGCTAACAGTGAGAGGGAAACTGGTTAGCCTAAAAAAAATCAGAATGAGATCCGCCATTTTTATTACGGCCCTCCTGGCCATGAGCGTACTTGCGGGTAAGTTTTTCCAATCTATTTTGTTTAACAATATTAATTACTTAAGAGTAAACTAAAGACTGCTGGTACTTATGCTAACGATAAATTATATAAAGCTTATATAAGAGTTGTTAAATTATACAGTGTGTATTAAAACAAATAGATACACTTAAATAAAACAAGTGCCAAACCCCGCCCACTGTGGTAGGGATTGAATTATTTTTGTTTGAGAATTTATAGGTTTTATTTTTATCGAATTCGTTTGTTTTGTTTTAATGCATTTCTGCAAATAAAAACTAAGTATTGTTTAAAATCCATTAAATTCCAGTTAATGGCGAAAATGTATTTCTTAAAAACTATACACATTTCCATACGACAGCGTCGGAGCTACTAGACACAGTAGATCAAACTGCATGCCCTTGTATCTGGCTGCATGCCGCGCTGTTGCTATATGCTATTATTGTTTCCTAAAAGGGTTGTTTTTCTTATTTTTTAATATTAAAAGTAAGAAAATTAACTAAATCAAATTATTTTTGACATATTATTTATTTTTTTGTTATTTTTAAAGTTTCAAACAAATAAAATTAATTACGAATGGCTTGGTTTAAACCACGCCCAATTAAAGTTTGTTTCTTTTTCTGTGATCAGAATATAATTTGTCATCCTTGTCTCCAGCCTTACTTGATTCTATACAGTCTGTACATATAAGAGTTTAACAAGGTTTTATAAAATCGATATTTAGTTTACTGGTTTTATAATGGTCATATAACTTTCTTGTAACGTTTCAGGAGCCGACCACCATAGCCATTTCAACAGGCAACATCTGCATACAAGAACGTTATCACAACCCGTCTGTCAAGTGGTCTGTAAGTAAAACATTAATTATTATAGGTTAATAATAATATGTTTAACACATTTTTTCTTGTAGGTGCGGGCAATGGCTCTACGACAGCACCTGGTAATAATTTTCATTAAAAAAAACAATTTTTGTACAAACTAAAGATAAATTATGAATCAATGTTCTACATAATATATTTTTCTTAGGATCCACTCCCTCTTCACCATCTACACCAGTTACTGGAGGTCCAGGAGTTACAACTCCAGCAGTTACAACCCCAGGAGTTACAACTCCAGCAGTTACAACTCCAGCAGTTACAACTCCAGGAGTCACCCCTCCAGCCGTTACAACCCCTGGAGTAACCCCTCCGGAAGTTACAACACCAGGAGTCACTACTCCAGCTGTTACAACTCCAGGAGTCACAACTCCAGAAGTTACAACACCAGGAGTCACTACTCCAGCTGTTACAACTCCAGGAGTAACAACTCCAGAAGTTACAACCCCAGGAGTGACTACTCCAGCTGTTACAACTCCAGAGGTAACAACTCCAGAAGTGACAACCCCAGCTGTTACAACCCCAGCTGTTACAACCCCAGCAGTTACTCCATCTACCCCAAGTAATAACTTTGCAATCATTTTAGACACCTCAGATTATACGTTTTTTTTGTAGGTCTTCCATCTTGCCCAGTCAAATGTGTGGATTCTAGTGGAACTGTTCACAATGTTCTTTCATCGAGTAAGTAATTTGACGTTTTCATTTCTAAATATATTATATAATATTTTTTTTTGTTGCTATAGAGAGAAGTCACTTTCATCATGCTTCAAAGCATCATGAAGCTTTGAAGAACCACAACAAACATCACGGTAACAATAAAAAATTGATAATAAATAAATAAACAAATTTATATACTTTTTTTCAGAATCTCACCAGAACTAACTTTCATACCTTATGACAAAAAAAATATGCTACACTGATAACGACTTTTTTTAATATTTATACATGTGATTGATGTCGGTGTGGAAATAAAAAACTTATAAAAATGTCTTTGTTTTATTTGTTAACTAAATATTTAGGTATATGTATTCATTTTGTATTACAAAATATTGTGAACAAGACAGTATTTGTAGTATGCTGATTGGCGAAAAGGCGTTGTAGAAGGGGGGCTCAAGAATGGCCGGCAAGATCTCCAGATTTAAGGCCACTTGATTTTGTTCTAAGGGGTAATTTAAAAATACGTGTACAAAACACCAGTTGAGAACATTCAAGAACTTTAACAATGTAGGCAGATAACCATAACGATAAAAAATACTTGAGGTTTTTAAATATTTTCGTTGTAAAAAATGTTCACAATTATATATATAACTCATTGTCGCAGTGACCTTTAAAATAAGTAGAATTCGCAATGTGTAACACTTGCAAAACAGTTTAATAATAATTTGCCCAGTTTTAGCATGAATATCATTATTTTGATTTACCTAGTTTTTTTAGTTTCTTGTGAAGGTATGTATTTTAGTGAAACATCAGTACCTATCCAACCTCGTAATTTTAGAAAAACATGCAAAGAAAAAGGATTATAAAAGTCATAAACTAACAAAATCGAATTATGTTTTGCCTCCATCTTCAAAATGCGAAGTATATTGTTTAATTCAGTCATTAAGTGACACCACGACTGCAAATCCTAATAATTCTACAACTATAGCTACAAAAACTACAAAAAAACCCAACCCTTCCAAAAAACCTACTAAGAAACCAAATTACAACTCGTCTGTATCAACAACAACCCTGAAAAGTAGAAGAAATAGAAAAGGTAAGCTGATAGCTCACAGTAAAGAGTTACAGATATATTTTATATATTTTAGCTTCTCACAAATCGAGAATTCACTATATTAGTCGTAAGAAGTTCGACAAATTATCAAAGACGCATTATAAGTTACCGAGGAATAAAAAAGGAAATATAGAAAGAAATTTTCCTCCGACTTGTAAGGTTTTTTGTGAACGAGTAGTTAACCTGGGACCTTTGGTTCAACCCTATGATTACAATAATTACAACAATTATATCTACGATGACGATAACAGTGGTTACTATGAAGAAAATATTAATTATCAACCATATAATTATTATGCTTATAATTTGCAAGAAGAAGATAACGCTGACGATGATTACGAGGATGATCAATACATACCAGGTATTCTTATAATGTTAAAGGGTTTAATGGACCTGAATATGCTTCTATTCAAATCTTGTGCTGATGAATGTTATATGTAAAAATAAATATTGTATGCTCTCTACTTGAGTCAAGTATTCAAATTCGAAGATTAAGTGGAAGAGAACGTTTTAAGATAGATAGTATATAATAAACAGAAAAAACGACACGAGATCATCATATACGGTGTGGGCCCTGTTTTTGTATAATAATTTTGTCGAAAATATTGCGATACTATAAAGATTTATTAATTTTTAACACTTCTTGAGGTTTTACATCTAGTAGTGAATGTTTGTTTTAAATTATATTTACTTGCTCCAAAAAAAAATCAATATTAATAATAAATTTTAGGTGAAGACGATCCAATTGAAATAACTGAAGCTCCAGATCCAAATTCAAATCCAGTTTTTGTTGGTTTGGAAGATTTTGGAGTTGATGGAAATCCAGCAATGAGTTCATGTATGTATCTTATCTTATTGTTTATCAACTTTTCAGAGCTAGGTATACTTATAGAAAACTATAAAACAAGATCTAAAATTGTTGTAGGGTTTAGGAAACTTGAGGAAACAAAACCAAAACAAAGAGCAAGGCATGCTACAATTTCCAGAGGGAAGAAAGCAAAGGAAAGAAGATAAAAAGGTTATTGTAATCATTGAATAAATAAAAAAACATCATCACATAAGATTGTTTATTAAACTAGGTCCTAGAGTATCTTGGATGTAATCATAGAGGGCGTAGCATTTCTTCTTTGTGTTCACGTCATTACTGCTACCCCATAGAATCAGACCATCTATATTGGATGATCCTAATACTGCCAAGGTATTGAAAACATCGTCCTATAAAAAACATTCATACTCTTTCCAACTTATCATCAATGTTTACCTTCGATAAAAAGCCATTTGTATCATGATATTTGTACCAATAATATGGTAAAATTTTAGGATGTTTTCTATTCTTCACCATATTTCTTACTCTGTTGGCTTCTACCATTCTGCCTGTGATCATTTGGACCTTGTCTTTTGCAGACATATGTAAATCCCCCATATAAATTGACGGATAAAAATTATCCTGGGATTCAAACAACCACTTGATGCTGAAAGTTTAGCACCTAGGTTAATTAAGAGGAAATTGAGAAATGCTACTTACTTATTATTCTCCAGTACAACATTGGCAGGGCATTCTGGTTGCTTATTTGAGTTCATGTTGAAGCAGTAAGGGTAGGCGTAGTAGCCCCAGCTTGCTTTAGGTCTTAGTTTTTTCACCAGGGCCAAAGTATCCTCCATGAATCGCCTTCCCGAATATTCGAACCTCTTTTTGGATTCAGTGTCGATCCACGATTGCGGCCAGAAAGGGTGTTTTTTGCGTTCTATGGAGAACGACAGGTTTTTGTATGGTTCCAAGCTACCGAAATTTTGCCGGAATATTGGCCTCCAACTTTCAAAATCCAGCACTCCCACACCTTGAAATTTTTCATCTGGAATAAGTTCGTTGATGTCGTCCTCAATCATTTTTAGATGCATGCTTAGGTTTCCTTCTTGAGGAACGCCACCGTTTCTCAGTATCACTTTGGTACCCTGAGTTAGTATGGCAGGAAAGCTTCCAGGGTCATAAAGAATTGCGATGTTCTTCCCTCGAAATCTGTCGTTATCATTCTGCTTTATGTTGAATTTTTCAACTAGTGATGAAAAGTTTAGCTTCCAAGTATCACATTGAAAGGTTGGTATGTTCCAGTATACTGGTATTTTGGATGTTGACTTTGTTGGAAAGATATCATTGCTACAAAAATTCTTCAAATTAAGTAACACAGTGCAAACAAATAATACTACCAACCTTTCGAAGCCAAAAGCCAAAACAACACTGACCACAACAACAACTACTGTAAGATGCATTTTAATTTTTTAACTCGAAGTGGTTGACTCGTTTTTAAATCCTTTTAAATATACATTTTCGCAACTGAAACTTATCTCACGGAAACGAACTTCATATACCTACTTATGAATATTTAATGCACCTTCAAAAGAAAGGCTCGTATACGGGTCGATAGGCAGTAGTGAAGATCATAGTTTTTTATCAGTTTTCACATTAATAAGTATTTTTTAATTATGCATACATTATCGATGTTTCGAGATTATAAAGGGCTTATCTGTTGACATTAATCGCATTCAGGGCCGTAGCAAGGTAAGTTCGAAACAGACGCAATTGAAACGCGTGGGCGAGACTTTAACTCTTAGTTTATTCTTAGTTTATCTTAATGTACTTTTTAAACTAATTAAAGTAATTTTAAAGTCTTAATAAATCAAAAGTATCTTACAATTGTTTCTTGGGCCCCTAACCTCTCCTTGAGTGCGGGCCTGATTTATGCATTATAAATGTAAAAATTTACAACAACAACTTATCAAGCCTAAGCTTAAATTATTGATATTTATTTACAAACCTATTTACAGTGATATTATCAATAAATAGCACTTAAACTTCCTGTAAAAATTAAACTTAATTGTTATTTGGTTAATATTTGCATAATGGAATTTATGGTTGTGATAAAGCTTTGAATAATTTATAAAAAACGCCTTGAGAATGTATTTTTTAAGTAGGGCATACATAAAGTAATTAGTGCAATATCTTTAACAATAATCAACGTTAATTTTGTATTGCTTAACAAGGCCCAACGAAAAATTGCTGGTTGAAAAGATACCAGAGTGACGAAACGTTGGTTCCATCCACTACTTATAAGACGAGCGTCGACAAACAGTGGTGAGATGTGCTGTCGTGCGCTGCCAAACGCTGAGAACTGTTGCACAGTGGTTAAAAATCAAACCATATTGATAATTATAATTTACTTGTTAATTATTTTATAATATCGATATAAAAATATAACTATGGTTTGAAAAAGATAAGCAGTAATCACTTTCAATTTGCAAGTTACTGATCATTAATAGTCCTGGACAATATATACATTATAATTTCTTTTCAAAGCGAAGATTATTATCCGCTAGGAATACTTTGCCTCTCCTGGACCATAGTCACCTATATTTAACTACTTTTTTATGATTTTACTCATCTACGCACCACCGAAGCCAAATTAATTGCATTTTTAACTACGAATAAATGAACTTTATCCTAAAAGTTTATAATTGAAGGGGCCATACAAAAAAACGTCAAAAATACTTAAAAAAAACGTTTAATTTTATGTACATATCATACAAACAATAATTAATTAAATTGAAATGGTATTTGTATAAGTGGTCAGCTTGAATCGGAAGAACAGGAACTAGATCTTTTGTGTTTTCTTTTCGATTTTTTTCTGGATTTCGATTTTGATCTTTTTCTGCAAAAAATAGGCATACAATGTTAAGAAAATGAGCACACCAATGTAATGTTACCTTTTATGCGATTTCTTCTTCTTCAAACTTTTCCTTCTTTTGCAGTCTTCACTTTCCCCTTCTACAATCACATTGGGGTCCTTTTTCGGGCTCCTCCCTTTCCTCTCCTTCTCGCGACTTCTGCTTTTCTCCTCGGTTCTCCTCTTATCCCTATCCGAGGATTTTCTCGGTTTATCCATGGATCTTTTTTCCTTATCGGATGATTTTTGCTCCACTTTTTTATCCTTTTCCGCGGTTTGTGTGGGTTTGTTTTCTTCGGAGATCTGAGCAGACTTCATCTTCAAGAATAGAGCCGCCTTTTTTTTCCGCTCCATTTGCAAGGCTTTGTCCTTCGTAGCTGAGGCCAATTTCTCGCGCGCGGCTGAAGCTATTTTGTCTTTTATGCGGTCTTCTGCTCGCTTTGCGTCCCTTCTGTCCTCTGCATCGAAAGTCAAATCGATCATTTCCAGAATGGGATCGTCAACATCGATTATGCCGTTTTTACATTGAGGGGTTTCCAGGGTTTCCTCGGTAACTTGTGGTTTATCTTCTGTAGGTTTTTCAACGTCGATTTGTGGCGGCGTTTCTTCTTTTTCTTGCTGTTCTTCCTCATCGTCGCTTTCTTCCACTGGAAGCGCGCTTTTGATTTCTTTGGCGGGTTCTTCTTTCGGCTTTTTGATTGAGAAACACACCGGTGCTATAACTTTCTTCTTTTCTTTTTCCTTTTCCTTTTCTTCCTTTACCACCACAGGTTTCTCTTTCTCTTTATCTTCGTTTTTGTCTTCTTCCGTTACTTTCTCCACTTTAACTTCTTTGACAACGGTCTCTCCTTTCAGCTCTCTTATTTTGCTTCTGTAGTACTTGTTGTGCTCGTGCGAGTCGTTCAAAAACTCGAACCTGGGATCCCCCTTGGCTTTTACGATGTCTTCAAATTGCTCGCCGTTTTTGGACACGTAAGCCGCCATCTTGTCGATCACTATCTGCGTTTCACCGCCGGGTATTGTAAAAGTCTCTTTCTCTTTAACTTCCGCCTCGTCGTCTTCCTCCGAATCGCTACCGTAGGCAGCCAGGGAGAGCAGCGGTTTCTTCAACACGACTTCCGCTGTTGCCGGTTCTACTTTAACCTCGATCGGTTCAGAAGATTTGACGACGTTCGGAGGTAGAGTGGGGACGCTCGCGCTGTACGGGTTGTCTTTGTTGACGTTGGATACGATCTGCGCGTACGAGTTGTTGCTGTTTTGTTGCTGCTGCTGCTGTTGTTGATGGTGTTGCATGTATTGGGTGTAGGCGAGTTGCTGGAAGTAGGATTGCATGCTTGGGTCCAGCTGAAAGTCCGGAGGCGACACCGTTTGACCTGCGAGGCGACACCTTTGTTTAACATCGGCACAACTTACAGAACTCTCAGAACTCGCCCCACAGAGAATAGTGTCACAATTAAGTGGATTACAATGCATCCTAACAATTTAAAGTCAACCTAATCAACTACATCTTGACAACAAAAACAGTAACGGGTCTGATTTTAGATTACAACAAGGCTTCTGACCCTATACTATACTGTCTTAGTATGTATAATTTACATGGCAAAATGCTCATGTACGCAGATAACCTGGCAATTTTCCACAACAACGAAGACGACGAAGATACCGAAAGTAAAATTAAACAAAACCTGAATATGCTACAAAAATGAACGATTGTTAATGAACTAACTCTAAATCATCAACAAGAACTCGAGAACATCAAAATTAAGGATTAACATCGACAAACAACTAAGCTGGAAGCAACACATCCACAAGCTCAATGAAACAGTATCGTCATACATATATCTAATGCACAAACTAACTAACTAAAAGCTAACTGACATATGTTACCTTTTTGGGCGACTGCAAATGATCACATAACAGAAAGGATAAATACACACCTACAGAACTTTATAAGAGTAGCCAACGACTAAGAATTGAGACAACTGGAAACGCACAAAGTAGTTCACTAGATCATAATGAAGGAGATACAGGATGAGGAGGTATCATTTGAAAAAAGAGCAATCACATATGAACCCAACAGTCTAGAGAACAATTAGACATAGAAAGAGCCAACACAAAAGATAGAGAAGTGAAAATAAAACATCACGAATAGTTAAATAGCTATTTACGATTTTGATTTAAAATTGACAGCAGTGTCACAATTAAGTGGATTCCAATGCATTCTAACAATTTAAAGAACAACCTAATCAACTACATCTTGACGCAACTTGACAACAAAAAACAGTAACGGGTCTGATTTTAGATTACAAGAAGGCTTCTGACCCTATACTATACTGTCTTAGTCTGTATAATTTACATGGCAAAATGATCATGTACGCAGATAACCTAGCAATTTTCTACAACAAAGACGACAAAGATACCGAAAGTAAAATTAAACAAAACCTGAATATACTACAAAAATGAACGATTGTTAATCAACTAACTCTAAATCATCAACAAGAACTCGAGAACATCAAAGTTAAGGATTAACATCGACAAACAACTAAGCTGGAAGAAACACATCCACAAGCTCAATGAAATAGTATCGTCATACATATATCTAATGCACAAACTAAGTAACTAAAAGCTAACTCACATATCTGTTACCTTTTTGGGCGACTGCAAATGATCACATAACAGAAAGGATAAATACACACCTACAGAACTTTATAAGAATACTCAACGACTAAGAATTGAGACAACTGGAAACGTACAAAGTAGTTCACAAGATCATAATGAAGGAGATAAAGGATAAGGAGGTATCATTTGAAAAAAGAGCAATCACATATGAACCCAACAGTCTAGAGAACAATTAGACATAGAAAGAGCCAACACAAAAGATAGAGAAGTGAAAATAAAACATCACGAATAGTGTAAATAGCTATTTACGATTTTGATTTAAAATTGACAGCAGTGTCACAATTAAGTGGATTCCAATGCATCCTAACAATTTAAAGAACAACCTAATCAACTACATCTTGACGCAACTTGACAACAAAAAACAGTAACGGGTCGGATTTTAGATCACAAGAAGGCTTCTGACCCTATACTATACTGTCTTAGTCTGTATAATTTACATGGCAAAATGATCATGTACGCAGATAACCTAGCAATTTTCTACAACAAAGACGACAAAGATACCGAAAGTAAAATTAAACAAAACCTGAATATGCTACAAAAATGAACGATTGTTAATCAACTAACTCTAAATCATCAACAAGAACTCGAGAACATCAAAATTAAGGATTAACATCGACAAACAACTAAGCTGGAAGAAACACATCCACAAGCTCAATGAAACAGTATCGTCATACATATATCTAATGCACAAACTAACTAACTAAAAGCTAACTGACATATGTTACCTTTTTGGGCGACTGCAAATGATCACATAACAGAAAGGATAAATACACACCTACAGAACTTTATAAGAATACCCAACGACTAAGAATTGAGACATCAGGAAACGCACAAAGTAGTTCACTTGATCATAATGAAGGAGATACAGGATGAGGAGGTATCATTTGAAACAAGAGCAATCACATATGAACCCAACAGTCTAGAGAACAATTAGACATAGAAAGAGCCAACACAAAAGATAGAGAAGTGAAAATAAAACATCACGAATAGTTAAATAGCTATTTACGATTTTGATTTAAAATTGACAGCAGTGTCACAATTAAGTGGATTCCAATGCATCCTAACAATTTAAAGAACAACCTAATCAACTACATCTTGACGCAACTTGACAACAAAAAACAGTAACGGGTCTGATTTTAGATTACAAGAAGGCTTCTGACCCTATACTATACTGTCTTAGTCTGTATAATTTACATGGCAAAATGATCATGTACGCAGATAACCTAGCAATTTTCTACAACGAAGACGACAAAGATACCGAAAGTAAAATTAAACAAAACCTGAATATACTACAAAAATGAACGATTGTTAATCAACTAACTCTAAATCATCAACAAGAACTCGAGAACATCAAAATTAAGGATTAACATCGACAAATAACTAAGCTGGAAGAAACACATCCACAAGCTCAATGAAACAGTATCGTCGTACATATATCTAATGCACAAACTAACTAACTAAAAGCTAACTGACATATGTTACCTTTTTGGGCGACTGCAAATGATCACATAACAAAAAGGATAAATACACACCTACAGAACTTTATAAGAATACCCAACGACTAAGAATTAAGACAACTGGAAACGTACAAAGTAGTTCACAAGATCATAAGGAGGTATCATTTGAAAAAAGAGCAATCACATATGAACCCAACAGTCTAGAGAACAATTAGACATAGAAAGAGCCAACACAAAAGATAGAGAAGTGAAAATAAAACATCAAGCTTTAAGAGTCAACATTTAAGTAACTTTAGGCACTTTCTCTCTGTGGCGCGAGTTCTGTTACACAGTGTAACAGACGTACCTGAGTTCTCGCCGCAAGTTTGCTGGTACTGCGCGAGCTGCTTATAGTACTCGTAGTACTGCGACGTGTAGTAGTACTGATAGTACTGCTGCTGCTCGTAGGGCAGCTGCGCGAAGCTTTGCATCTGCGCGGACGGCTTCTGGTCCGCAGCTGCAGCTGGCGGAAGGGGAGGCGCTGTTGCCGGATCGTTGCCCTGTATGCGGTTCACCAATTGCGAGTATGCGCAATTTGCCGACGGCTTGTATGGAATCGCAGGCGGCGCTGGCAACGGCGGCTCCTGTGCGAACAATAAACGTAATTATTCCCGGGCGGGAGTGGGTTGGGGAGGAGCGCGAGAAATTAGACGAAAAAAATTGGCGGGACAAATGATTCGTCAAGCGGGGTCAAACATCGAAGGTCAAAGGTCATAACGCACTGTGACCTTTGACCCGGTATTTCTGCTTCATCTTCTTTCTTCTTCGCTAAAACTCTCACCTTGACATTTTAATGTTTTTTTTAGTCTTTAGAGGCTGTAATCTCCTCAAATTTGTACTTAAGTGAGATTTTTTTTAATTAAAAAATCTTACTTAACGATAATTAAAAAAAAAAAACGGCTGTAACAGAAAAAAAATCAATGGACGGCAAAATCCCTGCGAACAGAAAAACACATCGTTATTAGTATTTCTTTACGGTACAAAAAACTACAGTAGTGTCTGTTAAAATATAGTTTATTAAAATATATTTCGTACAAGTATACATATAAATAAAAGTATTTTATGTATAGGCAATATAAATACAAACCACTCAATTTGACTACAATTAAAGAAAAGTTACCGGCATTAGTAAAATTGATTTGCAAATTGAAACCTACCGGTTGTGTTTTTGAAGCTATTAGACTGGGATGCAGGTAGTGGCCACCGGAATCTCCCTGGGACTCTTCTTTTTCTTCTGAAAAATATGTATTGGATGGAGAGGTAGTTGTAATTAATTTTTAATAGTGTTTTAATTTTGGCCAAATATGGCCAAAATTCATTTAAAAAAAAACTAATGGAGATATCATTATGAAATTTTAACACCATATTTTTGTGGTATTGTTCTTGATCCTGTACAAATTTTAATTCAATCGGCTCAGTGTCGGCGATTTTATAAGGGTTTAAAAAATTTTTTTTTAATTAAATTATTTTGAAAACTATTTAATATATCATTATGAAATTATAAAACAAGCTTTATATGTTAATAATCTTGATTCTGTACAAATTTTAATTCAATCGGCTCAGTGGCGGCGATTTTATAAGGGTTTAAAAAATATTGTTTAATTAAATTATTTTGAAAACTATTAGTCTTGTATCTCGAAAACTATAGGTACTATGTGAATTTTATATAGGACCTTTTTTATACAGATTTACATGAGGAACAATTTTTATAATAACCAAAATTTACGTCAAATCGATAGTTTACGAGATAATCAAGAAAAACCGAGTATTAAATGTTCACTGGAAATTTTCCGTTTTTTTGATTAATTATATTATGTTAGGTAAAATAAACTAAAACTTACCAGTCTTATGTGTCATCCCCTCATACCTTCCACTTTTAAAGGCAGAACAAACGTGTCTATAAAACTTGTACAAACTATCGCCTTGATTTAAAAAACCAAACTGGGGGTTATCTGCTTGTTTTGCTTTTATAAGAATCTCCATTTGGAGACCTTGTTTGCACACAAATTTCGCAGTCTTTTCTATTCTTGCGTATTCCTTTACAGTTTTAGGCTAAAAAAAATGTTAATTAATTGTAAATATTGCTGTCAATTTTACTTACAATATTGATATCTACAGGCACGTCTAGGGATGGTAAGGGCACATATTCTTCTTCTTCTTCAGGCACATTTGGTACATCCTGGGATTTTGGTTCCATCGGTACATCATAAGAATACTGAATTGCATTGGTTTTTTGTCTTTTGGCTTCTTCTTCTACAATAGGGTTTAATATTATTAAATTTTTTTTTTATTTTTGTACATACCTTTATACATTTCTTCTTCCTCCTCATTAATTAGCAAAGAGTAGTATCTTTCTTTGTCGCATAGCTCTTCCAACTTACGATCTGAATCACTTAACCCAAGCCATCTACGGGCATCAAAACCTTCCCTACTTGCTTCATACCTCTTTAAATCGCTTAAAGCCCCCCTACAGTCATACCTACCAACAAAAACGCGCATAATATAGGAAAAAAACTTAACTTTGTAATTCTAACCTATCAATTTTCAACTTTTCATCCCCCATCCAGGGTATAAGGTGCTTCCCCTGGTCAATGTGTTGCGCCCTTTCATCGTCCCTGAACAATTTACAAGCGTAACCAAACACGAGAAGTTCCTCATGGTTCTCCTTTGGCTTATTTTTACGCAAAATACCCGTATCATTGTTCCACTGCGCCATTTCTGCAAGTTTTTGACATTTGACAGCATCAAAACAATGCTGTCACTAAAGTAACGAAACGTCCAATTGCACCTCCACTAACTAAACTAGAGCGCATAAACAGCGTCTAAAATTATAAATACAACTTACGTTGACATTCTATTATACCAGTTAAATTAAGTTTAATTTTATAACATTTTTATAACAGTACTAATAATTTTAATAGTTTTAGTGCACAGTGTGCACTGCACACTTTTCTCACGTACTTTCAGGTACTTTAGCCACCAACCTAAATGTCATAAACGTCATAATGGCAAATGCTATGATGAATACCGTATTAAAAAAGTCCCTTAGCTTCTTGCCAGCTAAAACCTTCTTAAAGAATGGTGCAGCGTTGATACACACCAGGTAAACATACAACTGACGCGACATTTCAACCCCCGAAATTTGTTATGTAATTAGTTCGGTTATGTCGCGTTGACGTTTGTATTTCTTGTGTTTAAGCGCTGATAAAAAGGCGAAATGGTATCCGGATCCGGAGTGGATGGCCGGATTCGATGGGCCTGTTATGTACCCGGATGAGAACACCAAAAACTGGTCGTTACAGCCTTGGAGTGCCAAGAAAGCACCTACTGAAAAGGAGGTTAAGAAGAAATGGCCATTGGTACTCACGCCTTAGATGTGGGTGCTTTAACCCCATTCTTCTGGCTCTTTGAGGAAAGAGAAAAAATGATGGAATTTTATGAAAGAGTATCCGGGGCTCGTATGCACGCTGCATACATCAGACCTGGTGGTGTTTCTTTGGTAAATAATAAAAAAAAATAAAAAAAAAAATACAAATTTTGTATTTTTTTTCTTTTAAGGATATGCCGTTGGGTCTTATGGACGATATTTACGAGTTTGCCGCTAAATTTAACGAACGTATTGATGAAGTTGAGGATGTTCTGACCACCAATAGGATTTGGGTGCAGAGAACCGAAGATATCGGTGTTGTTACTGCCGAGGATGCTTTAAATTATGGATTTAGTGGGGTTATGTTAAGAGGTATGTATTTTTTTACTAACGAAAAATTTTCAGGATATATTCTTTTATTGTTTTGTAAAAAGTGGTTAAAATTTCATCACTGACTTTTTAAGTTTTTTTGGTTTAGTCGTTTTTAAAATAGCTAAAATATTCGATTCGTCTAAAATCGGGTATTTTCAATTTGAAATATCTCGGAAGGGGCACACTTTAAAAATCCAAAATTTTCACAAAACATTCTTTTGTTGTGTTGGAATAAGTGGTCACAATTTCATCTCTGAGACTTTATAAGTTTTTAAAATACACTCACAGGCAAAATAATCGATCCACACAAATTTTCGATGAATTTCAATCGCAAATAACTTGTTTATTAGATGTCGAATTTAAACGAATATTAAAGTATATTGTAGATAAATTAATGGACAATCGCTCACGTTTTAAAAAATTACTAAAAAATAGACGTACGTTTATAATATACAGGTTTAAACAAAAAGATGTTTTTTACCATAAGTTTAAGACACTCTGTAGAGTGGCAAAACCGTATATTGTTCTAAATTAAGTTTTATTTATCAAGTCACATCTATTCTTAACAGTTTTGTTTTTGGTTCACCTTAATATATTTATTTTTGTGGAAAATATGGATTTTTTTTAAAAACATTGCAATTTCCAATATTTTTCTGTATGAAGAACTAAGGTTGCTATGGTCCATCCATAGGCTATGGAGAATGACAGTGACAGTTTTGTTGAATCATCCCATACTTGGACATGTCATACACGGCTTTCAAAAGCTATCAAATCAAATAACCTATTACCCGGTTATTAAAATAACCTAAATTATTCGGTTATGAGTTTCGGATCCAAGTGATGAATAACCGGTTATTTGCGCAGTGTATATTTTTAAAATAACCTGGTTGGCAAAAGTCTGAAACGCCGTGGTAAATAAAGTTATCTGTAATAAACAGGTTATATTTTTAGGAATCTGCTCATTTGACAGTTGAAGTTTGTTTAAAATTTGAATTTATAGAAATTGGTTAACAAAAATTAGCATTAAATTTAAATTACTACGTGGAAAAACTAAAAATGTAAACACTTGTGTTAAAAATTTAATAATAATTTTTTGCCTACTAAAATTATGTTGAAAAACTACCAAAAAAGTATATTTCTAGAAAATGGTAATACTGCTTGAACCACCCTGGCTTAAACATTACAAGCCTTTTTTAAGGAATCGGGTAAACCGAAAATTGCTTATTTACATTCCGGTCCGGAATGTAAAGAAGCAACGAGCATTCAAGTGATCGTCATTCAAGTAATAATCCGGTTTTTGAAATCACTTGAATACTCGGTAATCGGTTATTGAAATAAATCGGTTATCCCCAACACTAGATGTCACATACATTTCTAGGTTAACTTTTTTAGGTTAGATCGCATCAGTGTGGCCAACATAACCGCTACGAAAAACCCTTAATTGCTTCAAGAAATTCCTAGTTTTAACAAATAATAATAATTATTATTGTACTAAAGAGTTTAAATTGTACAAACAGCACCATAAAAATAATAATATTATTTCTAAGAACGTATTTGTGTATAAATTAAATGTTTAAGTCGCAAAAAATCCCTAGAACTAGGGACAAATGCATAAGTTGGCATTACTGTCATTTCAAACTTGCAATTTTATTTATTGGTTAACTTTTTCTATTGTTTGGTTGTTTTGTGTATGTTTTTGAATTGAATCCAGTAGCAGGGTTTTTAGAAATTATCAACTCATATGTATCAACTGTTGTTTAGGTAAATAATACTAATTTAGTATTACTAAACTATGTTTTTTGTTATTCTCACATATATACTTTTTTGATAACATGTTTTTTTGTTTTAGGCGTTAAATCCTCTTCTGCAGGTCGAGCATCTTTGCACAGAAATGGTTTCCGATGTCAATTTGCCAGCTGCTCAGCTTCAGGTAAGCTAATTAGCTTAACCTTTAATATAACTGTCAAAAGTTTAATGGGGTTTGGACATGCAATTGTTTTATTGCACATTTTGAATCTACCCATATAAGTTGTGAATGAATTCAACACCTGTTTTTAGCATTCTAGAATGTTTAATATTCTTTAAAGTTTTTTTAAATTTAATTTATTATATTTTTTCTTAAAAAGTTACAAATTTGCTTAAATGTGATGGCTGTAAATCCAAGAAGTAAGATTTAACACTTGTGTTATGGAAAGTGTATTTTGCTTATATTTTGTTTGTTTTTTGAAAAATGTAGGTGATGTTGTATGTCAAATGAAAAAGAATGTTGTTTTCTTTAGGCTTATGAGAAGTTTCAAATTATTTTATTTTTTAGAATTTTAAAATTACAAATTAATTCTTATTCTTCTTCAATCTAAACAGGTGGTAATGGCCTTTGGCTTACTTAAAAGCTATTTGGCCAGCTCAAAAATTTGTTAAAGTTTTATATTTTCAAAATTCTAGATATTGCAGGATTTAGGGCTTTTCATTGAAAATGAGATATTCTTTAGGATGCCTTCTTAGGAAGAAACATTTCCATCATCCATTCCTCATGTTAATTTTCCTATGCTATCTATTTTAAATGTTTTATCTTTTCAAAATTCTGGATATTGAAAGATTTAGGGCTTTTCATTGAAAATTAGATATTCTTTGGGATGCCTTCTTAGAAAGAAACATTGCCATCATCCATCCCTCATGTTAATTTTCCTATGCTATCTATTTTAAATGTTTTATCTTTTCAAAATTCTGGATATTGAAAGATTTAGGGCTTTTCATTGAAAATTAGATATTCTTTGGGATGCCTTCTTAGAAAGAAACATTGCCATCATCCATCCCTCATGTTAATTTTCCTATGCTATCTATTTTAAATGTTTTATCTTTTCAAAATTCTGGATATTGAAAGATTTAGGGCTTTTCATTGAAATTTAGATATTCTTTGGGATGCCTTAGGAAGAAACATTGCCATCATCCATTCCTCGGGTTAATTTTCCTACGCTATCTATTTTAAATGTTTTATCTTTTCAAAATTCTGGATATTGGAAGATTTAGGGCTTTTCATTGAAAATGAGATATTCTTTGGGATGCCTTATTAGGAAGAAACATCCATCCCGCATGTTAATTTTCCTATGCTATCTATTTTAAATGTTTTATCTTTTCAAAATTCTGGATTTTGCAGGATTTAGGGCTATTCATTGAAAATGAGATATTCTTTAGGATGCCTTCTTAGAAAGAAACATTGCCATCATCCATCCCTCATGTTAATTTTCCTATGCTATCTATTTTTTATGTTTTATCTTTTTAAATTTCTGGATATTGCAGGATTTAGGGCTTTTAATTGAAATTTAGATATTTTTTGGGATGCCTTCTTATAAAAAAACATTTCCTTTATCCATCCCGCTGTTAATTTTCCTATGCTATCTATTTTAAATGTTTTATCTTTTCAAAATTCTGGATTTTGCAGGATTTAGGGCTTTTCATTGAAAATGAGATATTCTTTAGGATGCCTTCTTAGGAAGAAACATTGCCATCATTCATTCCTCATGTTAATTTTCCTATGCTATCTATTTTAAATGTTTTATCTTTTCAAAATTCTGGATTTTGCAGGATTTAGGGCTTTTCATTGAAAATGAGATATTCTTTAGGATGCCTTCTTAGGAAAAAACATTGCCATCATCCATCGGGCATGTTAATTTTCTTATGCTATCTATTTTTAATGATTTATCTTTTTAAATTTCTGGATATTGCAGGATTTAGGGCTTTTAATTGAAAATGAGATATTCTTTAGGATGCCTTCTTAGGAAGAAACATTGCCATCATTCATTCCTCATGTTAATTTTCCTATGCCATCTATTTTAAATGTTTTATCTTTTCAAAATTCTGGATATTGGAAGATTTAGGGCTTTTCATTGAAATTTAGATATTCTTTAGGATGCCTTCTTAGAAAGAAACATTGCCATCATCCATTCCTCATGTTAATTTTCCAATGCTATCTATTTTTAATGATTTATCTTTTTAAATTTCTGGATATTGCAGGATTTGGGGCTTTTAATTGAAAAT